GACAGGAGCGAGAGGAGTGGGTCGGAGAGACATGGCTGCTTCATCGATGAAAGCGAAAGAAAGGCAATGCTCAACCCATCTTGCCGGGGGGTTGTCTCGTCTCGTCTTGTCGTCACAGTACGCGCAGCCGGCTGTGTAGGGCAGTTACTGAGCCAAAGCTCCCTAACGGACCCATGGAATGGGCTGTACTGTAGCAAAACGGTTGAGCTGGCTGTGCTGTGCGAGTGTCCACGTCGGCGAATCCCCCTCCAATCTCACTCTCTCAGCATCGAATCGGCGCTCTCGGGGTCGTGGGTCTTGGCAGGCTCCTGCGTGCTGTTCATGGATGTCTGCATGCAGTCGCTGAGAGTGAGCATCATCCACCATGATTCAAACAGGGGTGACATGCCCCCAGGCGTTGCTCGCTTCCGTCGCCGAGGTACCCGTCGTTAACGGCCTTTCAGGTTGCCCGGCAGCCCGCCAAGGATGGATGATGTGCGAGATCGAGGGAAAAGGGTGGGCTGCCTCCCGTCCTCATCCACTCCACATTACGGTGGCCGTGCTTGCCGAACCAGAGGTGCCAGGCAGGAACCACGCCGCTTTCTCATCTGAGCCTTCCGTAATCAATCAATGATTGTTCCAGATGGCCATATCCAATTTCCAACTTTTGCGGCTGGGGGTTAAACGTGCGTACGTATCGCACACTGCCTCGCCAGGCGCACGCGATGTCGTCGCAATCCAGTCAGCGTTAGTTAGCAAGGGAACCCTCACTCACGCGACATGAGCCGCCAATGGGTCTTGGCGCACACTTCCAGGAAATTACGGTAATACGCCGTCGTTCGGGCTGCCGTAAACCCCGTTCCTCCGCGGTGCCCGGCCGTCCACGGGTGTCTGCTCTTCTCTGCTGTGTCAGCAGCTTCTGGTCTCGTCGGCTCGCGCACACGCGACTTGGTCGAGGCGCGTCGCCTGATTGGCTCCCGGGGCAACCAGAGAGCGTCAGAGAAGGCTCACAACGGCGCAAAACAGGCTTAGGCGCCGGCCCCAGTGCAATTTCCAGTCCACCCTGGTCCCCCATCGAACAGGGGCCCCGCTGGGGCTTGTTGGCTTGACGGTACCCGGGGCCCTTGTAGCTTTGACTCTGATCCCGCAGCATCCGGCGTCCGCTGCCTGCACGAGTGCCCGAGTGCAGAGAGGAAGGAAAAATCTTACTGCTGTTGCGGGCCCCCTTTGTTGCGAAGCTAATTCTAGTAGCGCCCACTGGATAAGGCCCTGTCGTTTCGTCCCTTTAGTGGGTGAGCGTGTAAGTGGTCAACTGTAGACTTTGGTCGGCACAGCGCTGCGAGCGCTGCAAAGCACCCGGCCGCAGCCCCTGCTGCACCACGCTTCCTGCAACTCGTCATCATTTCTCGATCCCTCTCTCCTCCACTCCTCCACTTGCTCATATTACACCCGTTTCCTCTTCTTCTCTTCCCTTTTCCTCCCTCCCTTTGCTCCCTCGATCCTCGGCTTGGTTTCGTCTTACCTTCGTACCTTGTTAAGCATCCCTCCTCCTCCTCTTCTCTTCACGTCTTCAGGTACTTTGCCTCACACCTTCCTGTGTGGCGTCCTGTCGCGTGCAATCTCCCTCCCTCCCTTCGCCAGCGCTTCGACAACTATCGCTGCAGACGACCACCCCGACGATTCCGACGGTCGTTGAATGAGTGTTTGTGTGGATTGGTCAACTTGGATATGAGGTAGTTTTTGGGTATTCATATTGGGACACCGACTACGATTTACGAGATTCTTCCTCGACCAAACCCCCTACGCTTCAACAATCACTGTCGCCTGTCCGGCCCCGTCGTTACCCCCTCGACGAGCATCACCACCCCGACGGTCACAATGAACGACTTTCCCACCCTCTCTGGCAAGCCGAAGCTGCAGCTTCTTTGGCCTGACCACCTTAATTTGCCTTTCCTCAACACGGCGGTCCCTCAAAGATACCGCATCGGCCGTCGCCGCACCAAGTCAAAATCCGGACCTGGCAACGAGGAGATTACTGGTCTCAAGACCTCATTCAATGCTTGGGATGGTGTCCGCGATTTCCAGAAGCACAAGTGGGCAACTTCAGACCTTCAATATGTCTTCCTCGCGCTTCTCGCACTTTTCTGCCTCTGGATCGCTCCCCCAGCCCCTGGCGTCAAGCTCTTGGCTGTGGTCGGCAGTGTATGGCTTGTGCTCATGCCTGCCACTCGCCAGTTCTTCCTCCCGTCGTCAATGATCTGGATTTGGCTTTTGTATTTCTTTTGTAGCCGGTAAGTTTACTCTGTAGCTTCTCTGACTTCTCGCATGCTTATTTCTCCCAGCTTTATCCCCTATGAGGTTCGACCTCACATCTGGGTCCGAGTGCTGCCCGCCCTCGAGAACGTTCTCTATGGCGCCAACCTTTCCAGTATTCTTTCCGCCCACCAACACCCGGTTCTCGATATCCTCGCCTGGGTTCCCTATGGCCTTTGCCATTTCGGTGCTCCTGCCGTCTGCGCCCTGATCCTCTGGATCTTTGGCGCCCCTGGCACCACCCCTGTTTTCGCGCGCACTTTCGGCTGGATGAGCATCCTCGGTGTCACTATCCAGCTCGTCTTCCCCTGCACGCCTCCTTGGTATGAGAACGAGCATGGCCTCGAGCCTGCTGCGTACGGCATGCCCGGATCTCCCGCTGGACTTGCTCGCATTGACGCAATTTTCGGCATTGATCTGTACACGACCAACTTCAGCTCAGCGCCCGTGCCCTTTGGCGCTTTCCCCTCGCTTCATGCTGCCAATGCAGTTCTTGAAGCCCTCTTCATGACTCACTGCTTCCCCCAGTTCCGCACCTACTTCATCCTCTACGCTGGCTGGGTCTGGTGGGCCACTATGTACCTCAGCCACCACTACGCGATCGACCTGGTCTGCGGTGGTCTCATTGCTGCCTCCTTCTACTATGTGGCAAAGGCGAGATGGTTGCCCCGAAACCAGGAGGACAAGATTACCCGCTGGGAGTACGAGTACGTCGAGTACGGCGACCGCAACACGATTACGGACGAGGAATACGGCGAGTACTTCGGCCTTGGCCTGCTGGGACGCCCACGGGCCGACTCTAGCGATGGTTGGACTGTAGCGAGTGCCTCGAGCTACAGCTCCAGCAGCGGAACCCTGAGCCCAACCCTGTCGGAGGAGGCCCTCCCCCACATGCTCATGGATCTGGACGAAAACGGACATTCCTGGGAGGGCCAAAATCGACCCCGCGATGTGGAACTGAGTGAGGTGGTTGTTGGGCGGTAATCGAGTCGATGCGATTCAGCAACACAGTCTTAATATCTTCTGGACGACTTGATCTCACAACGCCTCGACCGTTGATGGGAGTTTACGAACATAATGCCCGAAACCCCAACTTTAATTTTCGACTCTACATATTTTTCGACAAAATCTTTGGCATTCTACAGCACAGCGAATCGGCGCAACGCGGTGTTTGTTTTACTACGGCAGATGCTGGATTCTGGCGCAGGGCCGTCAGGGCCAGACGGATACTGTAATAATGGGGTTCCAGGGAGCAACTTTGCCCCATACTTAATGCGTTATACCCTGTCAAGGGACGAACCTGGATCTGAATAGAGTAATGTATACAATGCAGAGGAGGTTAATTCGTGCGTGGGCATGGGAACGACATGCCATGCATCGAGACGCTCGCTAGAGAGAGAGCCTGGAGCCGGACCAAGGGGGACGAGGCACACACGGCGCCCCCCTCTTGATGGGGATGGGAAAAGGAGGGACTCATTTTTGGCTCGCTGATGGCTGAGCCTCGGACGGTTCTGGAGAATGAAAACCTGTCGGCGCAAGGAGGCGGACGTCTTTTCGGGGAGTGAACAGGAAACGGAATACCAAAGATACCACTCGCTAGACATTAGGAGTTAGAAGGGAATTGACAGACCATTTACTGTCACCTGTTTGTCTGTGTGAACTTGCTTGTTAGGCTTTGTTGACAGCTTTCTTTTGGTGTTGCTAATGGTAACCTTCAACTCAATCTTAGCAACGTTGGAATCATGATGCTGATCATGCCGCGTCTGGTGTACTTGGCAACGGTCAATTTAGTAGCGAGATACTTTATTTCATACTATTAATGTTCAAATCATTACTGGACTTGACTTGTAGCACTGAGCTAGTCTAACGACAACAAGATGCTGGTTGTTGGAACCTTGGCTCCTATCATGGCACTCATGAGACGCCTATCGATCAACCAATGACCTCTAAAAGTCTGCAACAACATATGTAGAGCTCATGTTTAGTTTTTACGCCTCATCCAATGTCGATGACCCCATAAAACCTGACAAGTTTGACACCCAGGCTGCTTGAGTTTCATCATATCCGCAACTATCTCGGTCTCAGACGTCAAAATGAATCAGCGATACAGAAACTCTCGCTTCCCTCTCAACACACGCAAGTCCCCAACAAGCAAGTGAGCACATGGCACAAAGTTTGTAGAGTATCAAGTTTTCCCCAGTGTTTTTGATTTCGACTTTGGCTGCGTGGTCCCTGGTATCTACTCCAAAAGCGTCTCTCATGGCTACTGACAAGACAAGAAAGGAGGAAAAAAGACATTTAAGAAAAGTAAAACAAAAACATGAGAATGTAAAGAGAGAAAAAAAAAAAAGAGAAATGAAACCGTGCTGATTCATCATCATCCTTTCTTCTCCTCAAACGGCGAGCCTGCGCTCCGTTTCAAGACTCCTACTCTTCCAAGTCCAGTGACTTCAAGAACGATATCGCTGACATGCTCCTTTGGCCTCCCGTGCACCAACAAGTCGTCACTTTGCTCATCAAATCGCTAATATGAACCTGCATTGTCTGGCCTTGACCCCCCTTTCAAACCCAAAGGGCCTTTTCCTAACGAAAACCTTCATCCTTCCTTCGGCGAAAAGACACGGCTCATGTCATTTTCCGTTAACTGTGAGTACTCTCTCGTAATGTACCAATGTCGTGGTCATCTCCCGCATGTCGGTTCTACCTCTTCATGGCGGGTCCGCTCCAGAGGCCCTTGGACGTCTCGATGATGCGGTTCCCGTTGTTGCCCGGTTGCAATGCGGATGGGACATTGGAGGCCCCCGTGTTGCCCATGACCACGTCATTCTCAGTCTGTGTTCCATAGCCACTGTCCTTGGGCTGGCTGTTGTTGTTGGTCATGGATATGGCGCTGTCATCTTTTCGAACACCGGGTTGCTGGGGCTGGGACTGTCGTGCAGCACCGCGGTTGGGCTCCTTGGATCGAGCGCCGTCCATCAGACCATTCTGAGCCTCACGGAGCTTGTTAATAGCACGAACAGTGTCGATGGCTGCGTGCAAGGTCCGGCGGGCGTTGAAGTTCTTCTTGATGTTGGGCAGCAGGTTCTGGCTCTCGCCCTCGGCATTGATAAATCCTGCGACGAAAGGATGTTGAAGGGCCTCGTGAGCTGTGATGCGCTTGGTAGCGTCAATGGTCAGGCAGCGCCGAATAAAGTCCTTGGCGTGGCTTGAGACGCCGCGCCAGTACTCGATCGGGGTGAAGCTGTAGTCGGCGTTGAGGATGGCCTGCATCTCTTCAAAGTCGGAGTCGCGGTCAAAGGGGGTATAACCGCAGAGAAGGAAGTAGGTAATGACACCAAGCGCCCAAAGATCGACAGGCTTGCCGTGTCCCGTCTTCTTGAAGATTTCGGGAGCCATATATCCCGGAGTACCACAAGTTGTAGTAAGAACGTGGAACTGCTCCTCGTCCATGATTCGCGAAAGACCAAAGTCAGCAATGAGAAGGTCAGCATTGTCCTCTGGGGTGCGGAAGAGCAGGTTCTCGGGCTTGAGATCGCGATGGACAATTCCATGGTCGTGAAGGTAAGCGACAGCGGAGAGTGTAGCGCGAACGAGGTCGGCGGCATCGGATTCGAAGTACGAGCCCTTTCGGCAGATTCGGTCGAAGAGTTCGCCTCCTAGGGCAAGATCGGTGACGAGGTAGAGGTTGTTCATGGTCTCGAAGTAGTCAACGAGGGTGAGGATGTTTTGGTGACCCATGGAGACCTTCTTGAGGACGGCGATCTCATTGCGAACCTATATTCCACAATTCGTGTAAGCCACTAGGGGTTTCAGGGAAGGATTGTTCGACGTCGATGGGCAACAGGAGGAACCCAACGAAGAGGAGGATACAGAGGCAATGCGCACCATGTGTTCGCGACCCGCCATCAAGCGCTTGTTAATGACCTTGGCGGCATAGTAGCGGCCAGTGTCAATATGGACACACTCCTTGACAACAGAGTAGGAGCCTGCTCCTAGCGTCTTGCCAACCTTGTATCTACAAGGCTGGACTTGAGGTTGTGGACGAGCGGCGGGGTCCATGTTGAGGTTTGTGATGTGAGGCCTCCTCTAGGCGTAAGGTATGTAGGGAGAGGTGGAATATCGCAATGCCCCGCAGAGTGCGAACTGAAGAGCGCAAGGCGTGAGTATCGTGCGGTGTTGTCGCGGGGGGAGGAGGCGGCGATGGACACTCTTTCCAGGGGAGTTCGTTGCTGGGAGGAGAAATGATGAGAAATAGAGCCAGCCGGCTGAAGAGGGAAGAGTGTCAGCAGCTGAAGACAGATGCTGTCTGGCGGTGGTGCTGGTGCTGGTAGTGGTGGGGAGAGGGAGCGCGGTCGGGCAGTGATCGAGTGGGCGGAATGGATGGATCTAAAGGTGGGGTTGCCTTATTAGCGGAGGAGGGACAGTCAGGCGAGGGAGGCCCAGCTGAAGAGGACAGGAAAAAGGCTGACGGAGGCCGGTCTAGATGCAAGTCTGGCTGAGGGGAGTTCCATCTGTTGGTCGAACCAATGTAGGACGGTCTGTAGGTACAGCAGATTGGCGTGGTCGTAATCGCAGGAATAAAGACGGCTGTCTTGTGGCTACAAAACGGCAACGTTGCCGAACATGGTGCGGCAATCATGGGGGTTTCACCTTTGGACGCATCATATGGTTTTTGGTCCCTTTCAGTTAAAGATCCGATGTACGTATTGGCACCTGATCAAGGCGCTCGCTTCATCGTCTTGTCCTGTCTCGTCTCATCTCATCCGCTCTTTCGGTATGTGACTCTGTAGCTGTAGATCATATAGGCCCACTACCAACACGGTCGGTGATTGATAACGGTCGTTAACCGCCCGTGTGGAATGTTCAACGCTTGAATTCCTATAGATGCTCCTCTTTTAACCCATCATCAATACGTATTGTACGTGTCGTTTTTACAGTAGCCCGTGTTTTCTTGCCATCCATTGTCTCGTCTCGTTTCGTCTAATTAAGATTGCCATCACCGCCATGACCACTTGACGACAAAGGCACGACCAACAGCCTGCTCGTCGTTCCCCTTCAATAGGAACAAGGCCCAGCTGCGAAACGCGGAATCTTTCGATTTCATCTCTTCGTCTTGGTAACTCCCTCCTTGCTTCATGGGATTTGTTTCATATTCACCAAGCTATTCAGTCAAGTTGGTGGCCCTCTGCGATCCTTCTTCTTTTGGGAAAGTTGTTTCTTCATTTTCAACCTTTGGTTGTCCCAGTTCTTCTGGCTTCTTCTTGTCAACACCTGGCTCACGACGCACAAGTAATAGAGAGGTTACCTACGAATCTTGGTGCTTCTGCAGCTTTTCTTTGCTCGTCTCGTTGGGGACAACTTGGTCGTAAATACTGAGAATCTCCTTCAACAATTTTTTCCAGTTTTCTTTGGCATTTGCATCTCTTGACCGGGAGTCTTGAGTGTGAAAGGTAAGGGAGTCGCTCTTTGTCGTGTAATATTTCGACTCTCGAATGCTACGATGCAACAACCTGGGAAGCGTCGAGAGCAACTCTCTAACTGGATACGCTGTTGTGGCCTTGGTTTCGGTCCTTGTGTCTGTGAGCACGAGTATTCGGCGAGGACTTTTATGGAGGTGTTGCGCACTTATTGACATGCTGTCCGCCCGGCCCACTAGACCGAGCGTAGGTGGTGTTACCCTTTGGGAGTCGCGATAATTCACTTTCTGACCGGAACCAAGTTCGGGCTTCAGCCAGCGCATCTTGGTCGAGATCAGCATCAAAAGCCTGGTATCTTTTGAATCTGGGGTCAAAAGGAGGGCTTAGCAGAGGCCGTATCCGCAGCCTGAGAACTGCTGTCAACTGTCGCCGGAGCATCATTCACGCCCGCAACTTAAAACTCTGACAGAAAGAGCCCGAAGAGATTGCCCAAGTCCAGTTCCTTCTCTGGCCCAGCTGCAGCCTTTTGACTTGGTACCTAACGGTTGGCCAAAGGTTGCTGCTTGCTTTTTGGCCAAGGTTCAATTCTGCTGGGGCTCCCGTCCCGTACAAACTGCCGTGTCGGGGCGCTTGACCGCCTTGCCATAAATAGCCTAGCGTTTCCCGTCTGTCGGGGTTGACGCTTGCGCCCGATCAGCCTCATTCGACCCCGAAACCCCAGCCTTCTCTTCTTACTTCTTCCCAGTTTCATCTTCACCTATCGCCAGACTCTGACTGACCTGACGCCAACATCGACGCTTCGCCCGAGGACAAATCTCTGCGGCTACGACAACTCCTTTGTCGCGCCGAGTCCAGGCCAAGCTCCTTTCTTTGATTTGATGAGGAACCTCTAGCCCTTATCGCTTTGCTCTCACGTGCCGCTTCGCATCCTGAAGTGTTCCACACCCGCGAACTCATTCGTCCGGTGCGACACACCCCAACTCCGACGTCGCAAGTCGCTACCTGCTCGCTTCCTTGTCGAGCAGTCGGTGTTGTCGCCTGCTTCTTTTCCATCACGCTCTTGCGACAGTGTCGATCCTCTTTCCGCTCGTTTCTACGCCCGTTTGGCCCGCAACTACTACTACTACTACTACCTACCTATTCCAGCTCCTGGCACCCCCCGTTCTGACCGCGGCCCAATCTCTCTCCATCGCGCTTCCACTTGTCATTCTGCGCCAGGCCGTCGCGTGGCGGCCACTTCCACTAACGAGACGAGCCCATTTCCACCGTCTCCAACTGCACCATCGCCCGTGCCCGCCTTGTTTGTGCGATTGCGGCGCTTGAGAGGCTCTCTTCATCAATCTGCGCTGCTACTCATCACTCTTACACCCCCAAGCCCAACTTAATGCCAGAACCCGAGCCGGAAATCCAGGCCACTGCCAATCTCTCCCCTGTCTCTCCGTCGCCCGTTCACTCTGCCACGTCCTTGGCAGTTCCCGCGCTGCAGGAGACGGTTGATACCATCGACGCCATGGTCGCCGCCGCCGCTGCTGCTGCTGATGCCGCCAACGGCACGGCCAGCAGCGCCCCTAACCTCGAGCCTATCTCGGGGGCCGGTGATGACGATATCGTAGATGACGACAGCCTCAACGACCCTTACGGCGAGGACGACACCGAGGCGGCACCCCAGCCTGAGCCTCATCCACAGCAGGAGCTCCCAGACAGCAATGACGACTACGCAAAGACCTTTGATTCCCCGATTGGGCCGGAGGAGGGTGAGGACGGGGACATTCAGCCAGAAGATGTATCATCGATGCCCCGAGAATCCAACCAAGTTTCTCTTTCATCCGATCACTTGACAAGTCGCCCATCAGAAGTCTCACATGCCGTTCCTGAATCATCATCAGCCCAGCCAGGCGAGCCCGTGGCAACGGCCATTTCCAACGCTTCGTCCGAAGCCCATCTCGGCGGTGCTACGACGCCGGCCACATCGCAGCCCTCCAACCAGCCGACATCGTCTCCAGCTACAGCCAAGGCGGACTCCAACGCCGCTGGTTCTCCCAGTGCCTCAACTGATATTCAACGGCTCGTCGCCGATCTCACTGCTCCTGCTGAGCCCAGTGCCAGCGCAGATCCATCTCCTCTATCCGCCAAAGGTGAACCGTCCGCTGAACCGGGACCTTCGTCTTCAGCGTTCCCATCATCCGCCTCTCTTCCTCCGAGGCCCCCCCAGTCGCAAGCCGCGCCCCAGTCGTATGCCTCGCAGCACCACCCAGGGGGCATCAATGCCAGTATCCCCTCCAGTGTGGCCGCACCGCCGACCCCCGGTCAACCGTCCACGTACGTGGCTGCTGGGGCGCCGGCCACGGCCCCTGATGCACTGGGCAATTTTGCAACTCCTCCTGGCTCTGGTCTCCACGCACCTGTTGCCATCACTTCCATGAATGCCCCTCCATACCCGCCTCAGTCTGCCCCCTATACTGCTGATCGAGCTCAAGATGCCGAATACCAACGCCAGTGGGATCAGTTCTTGGCTGATGAGCGACAGTACATGTCGGAGGCCAAGTGGGACCGCTTTCCTGAAGGCTCTCGCATCTTTATTGGTACACGATCCGCGTCTGGCGCGTCCAAAAACGGCGCTCACATATTCTCTACAGGCAACCTCTCGAGCGACAAGGTATCGAAGCGTGACGTCTTTGATCTGTTTCATCGATTCGGAAGGCTTGCCCAGATTTCTCTCAAATCTGCCTATGGGTTTGTGCAGTATCACTCGGTAGAGGAAGGACGGAGAGCGATGGAGAATCTCCAGGGAATCGAGATTAAGGGGCGCAGGATCCGTAAGTTGACACCCCTTTGTGATCGAGTGAAGATGTTCTAACAGATTCAAGATCTCGAAGTATCTCGTGTCCAGGACAAGTCCAAAAAGGAGAGAGCCCGAAGCCCGGAGAGAAACCGGGGGCGTGATAGCGGACGCCGAAACGAACGACATGGCCACCAGAACCGGGATGATTATCGGCCAAGCCGCGGTCAGTCACCACGTCGTAATGATTACCAGAGAGACGAGTCCTATGGCCGCGATAGGGGCTTCTATGATGGTAACAGGGCACGGGGGCGGTCACACTCACCTGGCTACGGCCGCAACGACAAGGACAACTACCGCAGAAGAAGTCCAAGCCCCTATGGGCGACCTCGGCACGAAGGCGAACTCGAACTTCCTAGGCGGTACGGCGCCGATGTGCCAGACGTTCAAATCATTCTCCAGCCCGATGTCAACCGCGACTTTGTCAACTGGGTGGAACAAGCCTTCAAGGCCAAGGGTCTACGGTCTGAGGTCATGTACCTACATCCCAGGATCCCCAAGGATGTTGTTGTTCAGCGACAAGCGGCCGAGGGTGTGCATGCCGTGGTGGACCTCGATCTCAGAGCGCAGAACCTCGGAAGGATTCCAGTCCAGGCTTTCGACCGCTCAGCAGGCTCGAGTAACGTTCGGTTCGACCAGTACGTTGACCTGGAGCCTACTACTGCAGCTGAAGTGATTATACGGGCCAAAGCATCAGGTCAGCCAAGCTACGGCCAGTCATTCGGTGGAAATGGCGGATATAGCAATCCGTACGGTGGACAACCCCCTCACCAACCGCCCACATCCGGGTTCCCAGCTGGCCCACCTCAGAGTCAGTATGGCCAACAGCCTTCTGCAGCTGGTCCCGACATTGCCAGCCTCGTGGGACAGCTTAACCCTGCCGCACTCCAGCAGCTGTTGTCGCAGATCCAGCCAGGCGCCCAGAATCCCGCTCACCCTCCCGCGGGAGTCTCTGCCCCCGCCGCGCCGCAGGTTGATATACAAGCAATCCTGGGTAGCTTGGGTGGTAATGCCGCTGCCCAGCAACCTCCTCCGAACTCTTACGGGGCACCTTATGGAGCGCAGCCCCCGTCGAACGGAGCACCCCAGAACGGTGATGCGGCAGTCCAGGTACAGAACATCATGGCACAGCTCGCTCGCTACCGACAGTGAAGTTGTAGCACACAAGATGAGGTGGGGACGAGACGACCTTTGAGGACGTCGGTTAATGCCGTTTACGACACCAGATATACGATTCGATTCCCTTAGAGATGGCAGTTTCCTTGTTCTTTCAATTCCCCTTTCTTTCTGTTTATGCATAAAGCTGCCAAATTAGCGGCAGTCCCTGTGAAAGGGGATACAAGATTAGACCTAGTCGACAGTGACTATACGGGTGCGGAGCTTCTTGGTAGCAAGAGGAGATGGATAGGGGCGTTGGTGGTTGAGAATTATGACTAAAGAGGCGAAAACTCGCTGATACAGGGAGAACAAGGGAGCATAGCAATATGACTTGATGACATTCCAGTTATGATGTGACTGTCGCGGCTCAACAAATGTTAACCTCATTGGTATACAGGTCCGCTTTCGCCTACATTATATCGAGCTACGCCTACGTTCTTTCAAGACTGAAGATATATCAGCCAGAATAGGTATCTGCATACTATCTCGGCTCATAGGGAAGAGGAGGCTATGGGTGCTTTAGGCCAAGGACCAACATTGCCATGGCACAACTACCACGAGACTTGGCATATATCCTTAGGCATCTATTATGGTGGAACTCTAGAGTATATAGACACATGAAAGCTGAAACAACCCAACGCCAGGCCAATTCAATCCAACCAATTCTGATATCTTCTCACCAACCAAAGCTCTCATTGTGCCACCACACCTGTCGCCCCTTCATAACCCAAGGCGTAACACTTCTCCGCAACTCCCTCGCCATGCCAGGGGGGCCGCAAACCAAGACGGCAACCTTTTCTCCTTGCCCCTGTCGGAACGTGTCGTCGACAATCTTTTGCAGATCGGGCCTCTTGGGACTCCGAGCTGGTCGGGCTCCCCCTTGTTGCAGGGTGTTCATCTCGACTCCACTGTCGGTGACGCCCATGTCGCCTGTGAGAAAGAGCTGCACCTGGTCATCGTCGAGAAGGGACTTTCCCGTGGGGCTTGACGATGCCCAGGTTGCATCGCCGGGACTTCGGATGGCCCAGATGAGCTGGACGTGAGCTGATGCGTTCTCGGCTAGAATAGCGTGGTATAGAGGTACTGCAAATGTTGCTCCTACACCACCGGCGACGAGCAAGACACGGTTGATTCCTGAGTCGATGAGATCACGGAACGTCTTTCCGATAACGCCGTATGGGCCTTCAATGTTGAGCTCGACCTTACTCGAGGCGCTCCCAGTTGATGAGAAGTGGCTAAGGCGACCCGTCATCGGTCCGGTCCGCGTGCGTGCAACCAGTGTCAACTCGTGTGTCTCCTTGTCGGTTGATGCCACCGTGAAGGGGTTGTAGAGAAACTCAAAGAGCAAATGGGGAGCGGAGAACTGGCCAATACCCGGCCGAGAGCCCGATGGCATGTTGAGGTAGACATGAGATCCAGGACGGGCTCGATACTTGGCAATCTTGCTGCTAGGCATAGTTGCCGAGACCTTGACGAGGTTTGTCCCAGGGATGGCTTCGATGACGGCTGGCGTGGTGATGGTAGTTATCTTGCGCGCAGCCAAGTCGATAACAAAGCTACCGACGGCTAGGCCAACGTAGAACCGGGCAGAGTGCGCATGGTAGTATATCAAAGGCGGAATAGAAAACGCAGCCACGAGATGAGTGACGAAGAAGATGCGATACGAATACTCGCGAACACGAGCCATGGCCGTGCCCGTAAGAGCATGAAACGCCGTAAAGCCGACAACACCGGCAAAAACGACCGGTGCGAAGAATCGCTTGACCCAGATTCCAGACTCGAAGAAGAAGATGTTGTAAAAGATGGCGTGGAGAATGAGCAGGAAGTAAATGATCCGACCTAGCACGCGGTGATACCGGTTGAGGTGCTCGTGAGATGAGCGCAGGATAAAGGCAAAGGGGTTGAGTGCCTTGAGAGCCAGGAGATACTGGATGGGCATCTGCGAGGTCGCAATGATTCCAAAACGCTTCGTTAAGTGAAGATAGTCTATAAATTGTCAGAAACACCTCATCAATAAGTGCAGTTTCAATGTCTTACCCTTTCCCGTCCCTCGAACACAGAGAATCAACATCCACAACGTCCAAGCAACACCGAGAACCCACTCATCCCGCTGTCCCCATCGTGATCCCATAAAGTACACATCCTCGCCTAGCCACCACTGGGCGGCAGACCACTTCCCAATCATCCTGGTGGTCCATCTCTGCTGACTCGCCTTTGCCCCAGGCGAGCCGGGCACCTCGCTGTACTGACCGCGTCGAGCACGGCGCACACGGGCGATGAGCCGTACCAAGATGGAAACGAGACAAGGTGCAAAAGCCGAGAGAAAGGCGACGTAGGCGTAGTATTCGAGTGCGATGCGACGCTGATGCTTCTCCTCATCCGTGAGGGTGACAAACTCATAAGGCCAACCCATGGTGATGAGAGGAGCGATATAGTCCACCCCTCTAGACGCAAGACTAGCACTACTCTCGGACACGCAGCCGGTGCAATTGAGTCGGTTCTCACTTGAACAGATGCCTCGTAAAACACGCGAGATGGGGAAAAGTTGACAGCTGCTCTCCTCGGGAGTCGTCATCGCCGAGGGAGGACACAGCATGCAAATTGCGTCTGTTCTGATTGGTCAGCCTGAACCCCTTGCTCCTGGGAAAGCTACGCTTTTCTGGGGTTATCTAGATCCGAAGAATCATGATGTTTCCGTGTTGCCTACCCTGCATCTGGGTATGTTCAACTTTCAGTACTAGCAGCTGTTGATTTCTCAGTTTATCGAAGCATAAGGACAAGATTTATTAGTAGAGGTAAGTATTATCTCTTCATATTGCTTTGCTCTTAAAACATTCACCACGGGTGATAGCTAAAAGTCCACCTGACCACTTGATCACGAACATAACCACACTTCACATCAGATAAGACATGACCATCCAAAGAACAACCAAGTGACACCAACAAGTAAATTGGCGTCAATTCGACACAGCCATCTCACATTACCCATTCCAGGTTTCCCGCATGGTCACATCCAAGGCACTCTAAACCTTTCCCATGTACCTTGCTGAAAATTGATATCTAGCCTAAATACTGGAAAACCTCACTCTTCGAGGTAGAAACCACCCCAATCAGGGCCACAGAGTCAAAAAGGAAATAAACCCCTCCCAGAAACCGTGTTAACACCATTGCTCCACTAACTATGCCCGCCAACCCGTTCATCCATACACTCTTTCTCTATTAAAACATCGCTAGCGAGTACACGCTGCTGCTGATATTGTTGTCCGTTTCCCATATCGACATCCGTTGACCAGGTTCAAGAAAGAATCGTACATCGTACACGACACACATCACGCAGGGCTGCTGCATGCTACCCATGTATGCAAAACCCTTAGCTCTTGGAGTCGTCGTGGTCAGGCTCGAACTTGGTCTCGCCTAGCATCGGGCCAGGAGACGAAGTCATGGCCGTCTGAGTTGCAGGCTGAGGCTGGCTCTGCACAGTTGGACCCGAGGGCCGGTTGGGAGGCTGGGACGGCCGCGCTGGCGCCTGGTTGGCCGTGGCAGCGTGAAGCCTCTGGTCAAGAGCTCGGAGTGCAATGGCCCTCCTCCTCTCAGCCTCGGCGCGGGCACCTCCAGGGGCGTTACGGTGAATCCGCTGGTCGTTTCGGGAGGTATCGCCCTGGGAGAAGGGCGTGCAAACTCGCATGGCCACCAGCACCAGGAAGATCTGGTCAGCGACCGCAGCCACAAAGGGCTTCACGGGGCCGGGGAAGAACTCGGCAAACGCAAACGTCTCGCTCGCATCGCCGCGCTGGGAGGCGGGTTGAGACGACTCAAGATCGGGGAAGACGGTCTTGTAGAATCGGAGGTAGGTCCAGCTGGTAAGGAAACCAAAGATAGCGAGCCACAGGGCGGCCCTCGTAAGAACAGGAGTAAGAGACAGAAGAAAGACGATGCCGATGTAGACCAGCGGGAATCGAGGCACTCGGAGGGATAGGATGCCGCGGAAGAGAGTCACCGTATGAGCCGGCACGAGCTGGCTGAAGGCGACGAGGAAGGAGATCTGAACAGGGATCGTTCCGGCAATGACGGTTAGTCTGGAATATCTCGTTAGCCAAATCTCGCATTAGGTTACCAGTATTGGAGCACACATACGTCCAGCTCTCGTTGCGCGTCAGGGTAAAGAAGAGAACCATGACGCAGAGGGTCAAGAAGTTGGGGATCAAGGACACGAGGGCCAGGAACTTGGCCAGCTCGGCCGAAGACCAGGCTCTCTCCAGATAGCGTCCTCCATGATACAGCGTGACGCCGGCGATACCGAGTGTGAAAACGTTACTCTCAACAAACGTCGACGTAATAAAGGTCCACGGGTAGATGATGGACAGCTGCGGCACCAGCGTCAGGTAGGGGATGACGATGTCGGCGTGGGCGGTCCATTGTCGATATCGGATCGCGGCGCTGAGGAGGGACTGGCCGAGAAGCGCGATGAGGAGGATGCGCGTCACCGGCGGGATATTTATTCGGGGCGGCATCTCGGTCGAAGTATCTGGGTGCAAAGTCTAAGACGGTTCTGGTAGGGAGGTGGTATTGAAGTTGGATGATGTCCAACTCGGCCAAGAAACTCGCTGGGCTTTGGCGATGTCGGTGTATTCCAGGGACCGATAAGCCGATGCGTGAGGCCAAGAAAGGCTTATGTCGTAGGCGTTGTCTTGCTTCTACAAGCCTCGTTGTTGGAGTCGGCGCTTGATGAGTGGTTGCCCTCTCTTTCTTTCCCCCTTTGATGCACCGAGTTTCTGGGTCAGGTTGTCTGTCCTCTATGCGCAGCCTCACACAACAAGGCTAAGCCTCGACTCCTGTGGCGCAAATTGTTCGGCATCATGTGGCCTCAGGCAGAAACATTGTCACTTAACCCCTGTTCATCCGTTTCATCACTTGACCAAGTCTGTAATCTCGCACTTCAAAGAGGCCGCCCTCTCGCATTGATCAACAAGCCCGAGAACCGCGTTCTTTCTCTCTTGGTCCCACATACGAACGCAATTAAAGGCCCCCCCTCTTTCAACCTGATCATCTTGGCTGTCGCGCTTCTGGACTATTCGAGGAATCTTGATGTGGAGACTAGAGTTGTCTTCAAGACATTCGTGCAACAAGACTCACGATGATGTGAAACAAGACTCTGCACGGTGATGGGAGTTCGAGATCGCAACCTGGACACAAAAGACAACATGAGGGGCGACACGTGGAATCACAACACTGCGCAGCTCGGTAAACTGCAAGGGAGAACATGTCCAGATCACGTTTGGCCAAGTGTTGGCCTTGAATAGCAGGGCCAAAGAATTGCCTGTCGCACAACAGTCAGCAAAGAACGAAATACCCGTAGGTAGGGAACAAGCCTCCAACGCTTAGCTCCGCAAGCGCCCGCATCCAACGATAGAGCTACGCTTAGAGTTGGGATCAAGAGATTGCATCGAAAGCTTCGGATGTTTCACCTTGACGATCTTTAGACCGGCCCAGGCATTGACACTAGGCCTGTATGTTGAAGCAATCGCGTCCATGGAATCCTTACGGCACCCTTATCACGATGACTGCAGCAAGGCGCCCGCGGCAGCCTGTCAGCTATATCCCGCGTATAGCCCTTGATATCACGTCTGGTGGGCTGTTCTCAAATTTGGATGGGGAGACCCAGATACCGAAGTCGGTGAAGATTCGGCGGCCTCGGCAGCGGGATGACGGAGGCACTTTGTCAACAAGGCCCGTCTCGAATTTGACCGTTGATTGGTCAAGAGTGTTGAAACCGTCGAACAACTGTTCCCCTGCCTCAGAGAACATGGAGCTAGTGGGGCCAGCGACTCTGGAATGTCGTGCAGGGCACAGCAAGCAAGCCACATCCTCGACCTGGCGTTGTGCTGTTGAGATTCAGATGAAAAAGGCGCATCTGGCCAGATAGAGATTCCCGTTGACCAAGCACAGCAGCGGGGAGCCATGTCGTGAGTCCCCAGAGTGTCAAAGAAAGATTGGTGCCTTAGGTGAGGGCGCCGGAGATTTGTGAGGCGCCATGGACTCAGGTCATTTTGCGTCGGTGGAGGTCCAAGTACCGGCGGGAGATGCACAACGAGAACCTCGGGAATGTGACGGGAGGCTTGCGACATTCAATGTCACGTGACGAACAATCTCGAGTTCCAAGATTGCAGTGATCATGATGGGCTCTGCAGACCTCAATAGAAGCTTGGCAGGAAGAAAATGACGGCTTCATGTGGACGGATACCGATTTGCGCCATCATCATCAATCGGCTCGTAGCGAACAGTTTGCTCTGCTGCATTGTTTCCAACCGCTGAAATCATCACAGAGTCCGTGCATTGACGCACTCGACAAATGACGGGTCCCTGTCGAAGTCAAAAGGTGCGGGTACCCGACGCTCGGAGGTTTGTCATGGGTAGGTTGGGAGGGAATCCTGCAGCATCACGTTGTCAGCTTGTCAGAGCGGGATCATGGGCACGGCCAGTTCAATGTCCTATGTCGTCTCGAGAATGGCATACTTGTTTTCCCGTCGCATTGTCATTCATCTCGAGGACGATTCAAATCATGATGCCAGATTTCGTCCCTTGAAGAGCGCTAGGCATGGTGGCCCAAGGCCCGGACCAGGGCGCCCAGATGGTCCCCAGTTCCACGGTGGGCTCCTTGGCGGCCCCTTTGACCGAACTAGAGTGTTGCCACGTAATGACGAGAAGAGCAAGGCAGGGCTGTCAGCGCGTTGCGACGGTCGATATTTATCGCTGCCGTTACTGTCACGGTGTGACAACCGTTTTCTCGCGCAGGTCGGAGAACCGAAACGGGGCAGAACCTGGTTGCACAAGAATCTTTGCAAGGGGTTTGGAACTGTTGCACCGGCCGTAAATCATCAGCTAGCAGCCGTATGTATTGATTGCGATGATGCTGGCAACCTTTGCTCGACAAGTATTGCCATCTCGTGGGTAGCGATGCTGGCGACCGCACTCATCATCTCTGCCTGGCGGTTACCGGCGTGCCTAGCCTGGTCTTGTGCCCGAGAGGCAGTGAGTTGTGCATGTCATGTCACGCAGAGATGGATGGCTCAGATGTGCGGACGACATTGGGTGTGGCATCCTTGTTCGCGGTGGCATCTGCCCGTCCGGAGCTGTGGGAGCATCCAGGCTGGATGCCGGGGCAGTGTTTTGGTGGGCCTCGATTGATGGTCCGGTTCTTGAATCTCGCCTCCCCGGACCTTGAAGAGTCTACCGCAGGAAAATGGCGCCGGGCGGGAGACTCCTCAGCCGGGTATCTGGTGACCCCTCCGGTTTTCTCGATGCTGCCCGGCTCTCGTCATGACGACACAAGCTTGAACCTGCGCCAGACCGCGTTTCCTCAGCCATCGTGACATTGCACCTCGAATTGGAGTGAACACAACAGGGGGTAAGGGATGGGCGGGGAACGGAACCTGACACATGTCGAAGTACCGGTACTTTCAGACGTGGGCTGCTTGACCCCTGTCGCAGCCGATCTGCATCCGTCTCAGATTTTGGGAAGAAAGGCGAATGCATCAACCCGAGCCTCGAAGGAAGAGTGGGTTGGCGTTTGTTGCGGGCTGACCTGACTAAGGAGGGCGCGGTACATGATTGGACGCCTGTTGATGAAGCCTTCCAGGTTATGCACCAGCTGGGGCCGCCTGTTGGATTTTGACGGAACACCATGGCACCCGTCGGCGAACCGACAGCGGCAGGGGCGTCCATTACCGACCACGCGCGATAATGTCTCGTGGTGGAAGAGAGGTCAACGAGATGGGAGGGGATGGATTGTCTTCGATCGTATCGGAAATTCGACGTCGCCCCCTCCTCTCCTGGCCCTGTCACCACAAACAAGGGGTGGGATCTTCAAACCTTGTCCTGCTTGTTAACGCCGCTCTCTAGCGAAGGCATGGAAGCCAACGAATGACTGACCTGGCCCAGTACCTGAGAAAAGTACCGTTTCCCACCTGGAGGAGGGTGGCCCGGCTGCCGCTGCTGGTGCGTCGGCTCCCTGTCCAGGCATGAGCATGAGCACGACACAAGGGGGGGGGGTTATTTCAGTTCTTGGGGGTTGCATTCACCATTCAACATGCGCCATGGCCAAAACGGGTTCCAAGACCTTCAAATCCTCACAACGAACCCCTGCTTATTCGAGCCTTCAACTCCACAATCCGCAGGTCCACGAGACTCGGCCGACCTATCGATTGGCTGGCCTGCCCCCATCTCCAAGGTAGCGGTACTTGGGCGAGCCCGCCCGCAGCAGGCTGTTGGCGCACCCAGCCCTCGCCATCTCGAAAAGGCTCGAGACCGTCTGGCTGGCGTGCACTTCTGTTTTTTCCATCCTTCGACCTGGCGTCCACTAGCGCCAGCCCCATTTCGAGCCAGCCGTGGGTACCTGTAGCCCTGTCTGTACGGGACTGTGGTGTACCTTTTCTGGGCGACCAACCTGGAAGCTGTTCAGTTCAATGTCCGCCCACTCGCTTGCTCGCTCGCTCCCTCGTTGCCCTTACCCAGTTTTGCCTGGGCCTGGCCTGTTGCGCGCTGGAGGCTCCCGGCTGTTCATGGATGGATCAGTCCTGATCAACCCCAGTCAGCCCCGTACCTAGCTCCCCGTAAAGGGCCCGTAGCTCCAGCGCGAGCAATGTCGCTACTTGGCGTTTTAAGGGTACCAAGACAGGGTGTCCATCCCATCCTTGCACACACACACACACACACACGCATCACCCCAACTAATTGAAGCCAGGCCGAGCTAGAGCCAGAGGCAGAAACGGGGAGAGCGAAAGGCGACCGTGGTGGGAGCGGCACCAGCCCAGCCCAGGGAAGCGACAAGGGGCGGTAGGTACGTACCCACTCACCACCACCGCCCCAACTGGAACCTTGAATTTCATCTCTCTTTTGCATCTTCACTCGCCTTTCCCTCATCAACCCGCCAGATTATCGATCAAACACCAAACCGCGTCCGATTTGACTCCTAGGCTTGGCTTCAAAGAGCCCATAGACCCTCGCAAAAGAATCAGCTTCATCTGCTCGGTCGCTGCCCCTCAGCGACGCTGCGCCTGCTGCGGCGCCCCCCGGCATCATGGTCGCTAAGGAATTCGTCGACTCTGACAGAGTCAACTATCTCGTCTGGAGGTTCGTCACTGCTCCGCGTCCCCCGACTCGCACTCGTCCCCCGACACAGCGGTTCTCTTCGTGATTGTATTCCCCTGGACTTTTTGCGCTGACCGACGCTTCGTTGCTCCCTCACAGGTACCTTCTCGAAGGCAGTATGTAGCACTCAGTTCTGCGCGCCTGTGGCGGCACGTTCTAACCCTCAACTCCGCAGATTACCGAGAGACTGCGGCCAAATTCCAAAAGGAGTGGCATGTCAAACAACCTCACAGAGACTTTGCCTTTGCGCGCCACGTCAAGAGCCATGCATTGGTCTCGGTCCTGAACCGCGGCCTCCTGTACCACGCGCTGGAGCGCGAGCATGCACGCAAGGTGGTAAGTGATGATCGGTTTGTTGCCATTG